CTGTTTTAAAATATCTTTATAAAGGTTGGTATATCTCAACTTTACACTCAACACTCAATCAAATAAGAGGCCCGATTAGCTCTGCTATAGGATGTTAAAAACTAGTCACAAAAGTAATAAATTTTAACTTTGATGAAGAATATTAAAAATTGTTTTAATTTGTACCTTTTCCATATTTTAATATTTTCTGTTCTATATCAAGGTTTCCACTCTGCTGGAAAAATGAAAGAACCAGATACGACTGTTTTTGAAAAACATACTAAAGAAAATAAAAAAATGTAATTTTTGTGCATTATTGATTCAACGATGTGCAAAAAATAGATTTTTCAGTTTTTCCATTATGTTTTTGAAAAGCAGCTCTATACAATTTTCCAGTTTTTCCAAAAAAAAGGATACCCTGTATAGTGTCTACTAACTACCCTGAGAAGTGTGGCTGATCATCCACGATCTTGAGCGCTAAATAATTAAAAAAAAAAATTGATGTTTCTTTAAACAAATAAAAAATTTCTTCAAATAAAAATAATTTTTTTTTGCATTTATTTCTAAAAATTAAAAAAAAAAAACTACCTTAAGGCATAAAAGACTAAAGTAAGTTTGTTGTCGTGTTGTTCTTGAATGGAAAAAAATTGTTTTTTAAATTTAAATTTCATGTGTATATGATTTTAAAATACATAGTTAACTTAAATAAATAATTCTAAAGTACATTTTTTGATGCTCCACTAACCGAGCAAAAACTACATGAGTTTTTAAAGTACATTTTTGATGCTCCACTAATCGAGCAAAAACTGCATGAGTTTCTAAATATTGTTAAAAAACTTCTTTTTAGTTTGTAAGTTTTTTGTTGTGAATAAGATAATGGAGAAAATAAATTAAGACAAATCGTGCAATGTTTTCAGGTTTCGAAAAAGACTTTTGATAAGTGGATAGTGGGTTTAAATAAAATATTACTTGGATTTAAGTCAGAGAAATCAAAATTAATTTAATAAGAAAGAAATTAAAACTAACTCTTACAAAGTTCCACTTTGGCACATCATACCAAAAAAAAGAAATATTTGATATTAGAAATTAGAATAGGTTTAATTCAGTTTTTTAAACAATTGATTTAGTTGAATCACCAGGTAATCAAGAGAATTTAATAAATGAATAGCAAAAAAAAGTCGACCAACAAAAGAATTTAATGAATCGAGTTCTCGCACCAAATGACGATTGATGGAATTTTTTCGAGGAATTCAAAAACGGAGCTCATCGAAAAAATAATGTTAGTGGCACAAAGAACAGCGTATAATAAACGTGATTTTAATTTAGTCAAATTATTCAGTATCGTTACAAAGAGTCGACACAAATCGTTATTGCTTTACACTCAGCTAACAACGTTGCAAGAGAAAATGACGTCTGAAGAATCTTTTACATATTTCTTGGATAACAAACTTTCAAAAAATGTTTAAAAAAATACTCATAAAGAAGCACCATGTAGATTTCCATCTTATCAAGTAATTTCCAAAATAAAAAACGTGTGCTAATCTTTAAAGCATTCATTGTAGTTTATGAAACAAAGGCTAAAGTTAAACTACAGGGTTTTATAGATCACACATTTGAGAGGCTTGTGAAATTACAGAAAAAAAATATTTTAAAATTTTGGATGATAAAAAAAACTTTGATGAATTAATACTAATTAAAAGTTGGGATATGGAACATTAAGTCACTTAAAACACCATCAATGTTTTAATAATTCTAATCAAAATAAACTTTTAGATTTGGATCTATTATTCGTAGCAACATTTTCTCTTTGACTATATGAATAATCAGATTCACACAACATTTTATAGAATAACATGTCTCTAAGTATTAGATTCTGCAGACCAACTATGCTGGAGTATATAAAGGAAAACAAAGAAGTCGTATTAAAAATAAAGGAGGAATGTGAAAAAGAAACTCTTAAATTATATTCTATTAAGATTTACCCTCCAAGACATAAGTATGTTTTTATCAACTATAGGCTTGTGCTTTTAATGTTTAATGGGAAAATCTTAGTTTACATCACGGACACTTCTTCGACACAACTTTCCTGATTTTTTACGTCATACCTAACATGATGAGCAATCTAAAAGTCTCTAAGGAAGGATTTGTTACTAATAGGCAGTAACAAATCCTTTACTGGAGATTTTCTAGATTGCTCATCATGTTTCTATTGTGCTATGGCATTTCACCAGTAAATGCTTGGATTAGGTTTTTTGAATTATTTTTACAAATCAAATCAATATATTTTCACTTTAATAATACTGTATATATATACAATCATGCGGTACAACAAATTCTTCAAATAAATTTTTCATTAACATTGGTTCCAAACTGGCAAATAAAATTCCTAATATCCAAGTTGTGTTCAATAACTTTTTAACCTCGATGGATGATTTGTTCTGATAATTTATCTTTTGAGGTATCATTTGAGGAGTATCAAGTGTCCTTTAAATCTATTTGAAAAAAAAAGCCCCTGGGTTTGATGAAATAAATGGAAACATAGTCTTAAAATGCTTTGAACAATTAAAAGATATTCTCTTTCAAATTTCAGAGTGTCAATACAACTAGGAGTTTTTCCTGATCAGTTAAAAATAGCTAAGATAATCCCAATATACAAAGAAGGAGACAGAACTAATATATGTAACTACCGACCTATCTTTATTTTATTTGATTCATAAACTTAAACAATATGGAGTGGATGATGTAATTTGGAAGTTTAAAAGTTAACTAATCGAAAACAATTGTTTCTTTTAACTTTCCCTTTTCAAAAAAAATATTTTAGATATTTCATGTGGTGGTCTACAAGGATTAACTTTTGGGCCACTTCTTTTCCTAATCTACTTTTAATGATTTGCATAAAGCTTCTAATCTTTTAAGTATTTTGCTTGTGGGTGATACTAATTTATTTTTATCTGATAACAATATTATTAAACTCTTCACTACTATTAATGAACAACTCAAAATAATTTCTAGTTGGTTCAAATGCAATAAACTTACCCTAAATATTAAAAAAAGAAAATGGATTCTTTTTCATTGAATAACTTAAAAACGTTATTTACCCCTAACTCTACCTAATATTTTTATTGACCATATCGAAATAAAAAGGGATTGCATCATAAAATTTTTAGGCGTATTCCTTGATGAGAAAATCACATCCAAGCAACATATTGATTATGTTGGTACTAAAGTTTCCAAAAATATTGGAATTCTTTATAAGGCCAGAATCTACATTAATATAAAAAAATTTTATCCTAACTTTATTATGCATTCATTCATAGCTATATAAATTATGCAAATATTGCTTGGGCAAGCTCTGAAAAAAGTAAGTTGCAATCTCTCAATCGCCGTCAGAAATATGCAATACGTGTAATTAATTTTGCTGATCGTTTTTCTCACTCAAAACAACTTTTTTCTGAAATGAGAATATTAACGAACTTGATATTGCTAATATTTTATGCATTGTACATATATGTAAAAACAATCTTTCTCTTGCCGTTTTTAATGATTTAATTACCTTGAAACCTACCAATATATACTCTCTAAAAAATAACAACCTTCTACATGAGCCTATTTGTCAAACAAATTTTAAGCAATTTTAGATTAATTATCGTGCACTCCATTTTTGGAGAAAAATTGTTTTGCCTAATATTAATTTTGATCTACCTAATTCTTTGCATTTTTTTAAAATTAAGCTGAAAAATCTTTTTCTCTCCCGTATTATCAAAATTTGACAATAATATTTATATTATGAAAATATTTATTAAACTTTATTACCTATAATAAAAAGTGATATATTTATGTATATTTTATTTTTATTTTGTTGTACTTTTAGTTACTTTATAACCTAATATTTTGTTTACACTAGTATAAGGTTCTGACGATAAGATCTTACTGATCTTCTTAGAGATACCTAGTTTTTCAAATGTTTTTAGTATTTGCGTATATTATTAATTATATTAGTTTTTTTTTTTATTTACTCTCATTATATTGTAAAAACGAACTAAAAAATGTAAACTGAAATGTTAAAAAAAAAAAAAACAACCGTTGAACACCTAAACCATAAAAGAGGTGAATTCAGCAAGTATGAATAACTTCAAATATGAATTATCTATATTAGCACTTAACAGTAATTTCAAAGCTAAAAACTTTTTTTATTTGAAAGCTAGACTGTATTTTCTTTATAGAGCGACCTGGTATGCCGCTCTTCATTAATAAG